GTGCCGTTTAATAGCATGTGGTTGGCTCATATGTGATTCTCATACGGTGTAATGCTAGTATGTCCAGTTTAGTGAGGAGCCAGAAAGGCTGAGTTCCGAATACCAAGTACACTCTGCAAATCCCTGGGACTTGTGTAAAAGTAATGTGTCTGCTCTGCTCGGCTTTTAAGAGGTGTGTGAGCCTCAGGACATAGGCTTGGCATGACCCAGATGTGAGATCTCTGGCAAGAATTTCAGCGTGCTAACAATTCCCTTTCTGTTCCCAGACAGGGAGACGTAAACTAAGTTCTCAACTCTTGACCTGCTTCTATTTGCTTGGTCAGTCTGCTTCTCGGGTCATTTGTTTCCTTGAGAGTTGGATCATAGTCTTTTTTTAGCATAAGGGAAAGTATTTATAGAATGTGAACAAAGGAGAAATCATTGGCCTTTTCATTACCATTTTTAGGAAGAGGCCAAAGCATCATGGGGTGGCCTCACGTTTGTCTCATCTGTCATTATCCTCCCCTGAGCTCTCCACCATAGCACTTCTGGATGGAGAGGAGAAAGAGCCTATGTCTCCTTCCTTTAGTTGGTGTGTACAATTCTAGGAGGTTGGACTGGGAACTTAGATTTGAAAAAGATTTCATCTTTGTTTTCATTAGCCTCTACAAAAATGTAGCATTACAGAGGCGACCAAAAAATAAAGACATAAAACAAAGGAGGTGACCAAGTCTATTGTAGTCTTAGTGATTCCTGTGATTTTTGCCTGCATTATAAATGTAATATCATGCCATGTACTCTCTTGTCTTTTGGGTGGTTAGAAGACCCATACCTTTGACATTCTTCTTTTCATTTGGACCAATATTATTATATACTAATATTATATATTTTGTTCTTTCAAGGTATCCAGAGCTACAGCCTAATAATGAGTTGAGCCATCTTTTCAAGAATTTTCATGGAACTGAAACTTACAAAACTTATGAAAGACACCAAATGATTACTAAATGAATTACTGCCTCATTCAGAAACATCCTAGTTATATTTAAAGGCTATAAAGTTGGAGCTAAAACTAGTTGCTATATAATAGCTCTCTATTTTTTTTTTAAATAAAATTGATATTCTTAAGGTAAGGGCTAAATGGGGGGGGGGTGTTTAAGAGTTTAAGCTCCGTTCATCAAGTTAGGAGAGGTGTGGCTGATTAAGGAGATGAGTAAAGATCTGTGAAATGAAAATAAATATTCACTTAAAAATAAAGCTAAACAAAAATGCTGTTACGACTAATAAAGGGTGGTATATTAAAAATCTCTCAAAGAATGGAAGCGTCCATGGAAGGATGCAGTCACATGGCTCCGTTAACATTCATGGGGTAATGGCTGCTCTAGGGTTGGCAGTAAATACATGTAGCTGAATAGACTGATGCTCTAGAAAGCCAGTCTAAGCCAGTCTGAGTTGAAAGCAAATGTATGTCTTGAGCAGGGCATCAACAGAGGCTTGGCAGTGCCGGCGACAGAGGCTGTGAGTCAGGAAGCCACACGGGTGCTGCTTACTAGGTGATAGAGCCAGATGTAGCAGTAACAATGGAAAAAGGAGGAAACAATTGAAACTTAAATTACTGCACTTGCTACTGGTAATACCAGCAGTGGGGGTGCTGTGGCCAGCCTAGGCTACAATGAGACCCCGTTTGAAGAAGCAGCAGAAGAAAAAGAAAGATGAGGGGGTAGAGAGAGAGAAGTAGAGAAAAAAACGGTTCTACAGTTTTGGAGTCATGTCTTTTACCATCATTGTTCAGGTGTGCAGCTTTCGGTAGAAAATGGGCCTCCAAGAAAGGAGAGCAGGTTTGTGCTCGCAGGAATCCTGAGCGGACGCACAGACACTCCGACAGTGTATTAGTTACATTTCTTGGTGCTGTGGAATGTGAGACAAGCTACTACTTAAGGAGGGCAGCACTATTTTGGCTTACAGATTTGGGGTACAGTCCATCATAGTGGGGAAAGCATGGAGGCATCTAGTCACACTGAGTCTGATGTCAGCAAGCAGAGAGATGAATGCTGATGAAGGATGAACCTCACCTTCTTATTTGTCCTTTTTATTTGTCCCAAGTCAGGTGGTCTTCTTCTCCTTCTCCTCCTCCCCTTACTCCTCCCCCTCTTCTTCCTCTTCCTCCCCCTCTTCTTCTTCCTCTTCCTCCTCCCTCTCCTCTCCCCCTCCTCCCCCCCTGCCCCTCCCCCTCCTCCTCTAGTTGAGCATCTCTGGAGACAATATCACAGTCATGATTAGATGTGTGTCTCTTTGCTGCTCTAAAACCTAGTCAGCAGTGCAGATTGACACGAGTCCGTTCTGTCAATACACCAGCCAAATGTCACTTTGAAATCATGATATTCCACCTCTATCCCAGAAAAAAAAAAACATGTCAATTTTATAACACAAAATGTATTTATTACATTTCATGAAGTAACCAAAGTATAAAATTTCCAGGAGTATTCAAAAGTATAAGCATAAAGTCTCTGCTAAGGTTCATCCAATCTCTTATGATGAGACCTTGTTAAAAAAAAGTTACACATTTCTAATATATAATGACACAAAGTCCAACAGAGAGAAATAAGGCATAGCTAGGAATGATGAGACCTAAACCCAGGAGGCGAACACCAAATTCTGCAGCTCCTTATCTGGCATCTGGGGCTCATATTGGAATCATTTGGGTCTCGTCTGGGGTGGCCCTGCCCACTCAGCTTCCCAGCCTAGAGTCGACCATTTACTTGGACCACCTCCACTTACATTGAGTTGGAAAATCGACAGCCTCTGCTTCACACATACTTCAGAAAAAGGAAAGCCAATCAATTGAAAATCTAAAAAACCTCCGAAGTCGTCTCTGATGTTAGCAACCTGGTATTTTGTTTATTGTGAAGTGTCTGTAAACTAAATTTCTATAGACTAAAAGCTACTCAATATATTGAGAGTCCTGCACTTGTCCGTGTTACAGTTGTCTCCTGGGCTCCACATTGGACTGGCTCTTGGACATCTCACTACTCCCAGATACAAAATCAGAATGATGGCTAAGCTTGGCTACCTACCAGACACCCCAACCCTCCAAACCTGATGAGTTTTGCATTTTATTTCTAAATTCTAGAGATGTGTTCAAGAGCTTTTTTGCCCATCTGTTTTTATCCCCGTCTAGAATTAATAATTAAGACACATACTTGCTATCATGGCTAGGGTTTCACTGACGTGAAGAGACATCACGACCAAGGTGACTCTTACGAAGGAAAACATTTAGTTGGGGCTAGCTGACAGTTTTAGATCAGTCCATTATCATCATGATGGGAAGCATAGCAGCATGCAGGCAGATGTAACAGAGAAGCTAAGAGTTCTATATCTTGATTGGAAGGCAACCAGGAGGAGACTGTGTTCCACACAGGGCAGAGCTTGAACACAGGAGACCTCAAAGCGTAGCCCTGACAGTGACACACTTCCTCCAACAAAGCGACATCTCCTAATAGTACCTCTCCCTATGGATAGCCAAGCATTCAAACACATGAGTCTATGGGGGCCATATCTATTCAAGCCACCACACTTGCTACATGATAGTGAAATATGTCCACAGAAGAAAGTCAATGAGTTAAGCTCCAAATGTCTACATTTGAGATGGGCAAGTATTGATGAATAAACATCCTCAGAAATTTGTATTTTAAAGTTAACCAGCAAGCCAACCTTGTTCTCAGAACATGCATCATATATTTGGTTTTGATCTATAAATATTTCAGTAAATTGTAGAAAATGAAAGATGGAAATTTACATGTTCAAAAACAAATCATTTCTTTTTAATGCCATAAAGTAATATGTCCCTAAATCACATACCTGGAGAGTTTGATGTTAATTTTAAGAATCTAGACTATTAGACAGCCCAAAACCTTGTTTCAGTAGGAATTTCCTTCTCAAATATCCAATATTTGAAATGTAAGTGAAATTTTAAGCTTTATTTACACATAAGCAAAATTATATAATGAGATAACAGCAGGGAGGAAATGTTTCCATTTTTTATAGGACAACTTAGCTTGCAATTCAGCCTGATCAAGTTGACATGTTTCAAAGCCACTAGTGTCAAAATTTTTTAGAGACTAGGCTAAGCAATGTCTAAGTGGCTGGTGGCATCTCTAAGAGGTCCTTTCTGGAGCCTGGGTAAAACCGGTTTTGTTTTAACTGTCACAATTTAGGTGCAGAAAGAACCCAGTAGGTGCCCAGTAGGTGAGGATGTGAATCCTGCTCACAGTTGGAGAGGAAACTGGTAGAGATCCCGAAGACCTTTTCAATGAGCTCCCCAAGCTACTGGTCTACAGAGGAAATGGCAAGTGTAGCCCCGCGGCTGGTTTCTTCCTCAGAACCAGAGCTCCCATTGTTAGCTGGACCAAAGACTGTAGAGTAGACTGCTGTGGTAAACTAGTTGTGGCCTCTGGACCAGACAGAAACATTTGTGATGTATGCAACTACAGAGAAGTTAGAAATTACCTGTACTTGGGTTAAATATTAAAGGAACTTATGGACCAAGTTGTGTTTGAGGGAATTACAGATTTAGGGTAAGTCTGTGTCAAATGTCTTCACAAAGAGGCTCAATCATTATACATTATAGCCTTGTGTGTGTGTGTGTGTCTGTGTGTGTGTGTGTGTGTATGTGTACACTTCGGTCTCCTAGTTTGAATGGTCCTTTAGAAGTTTCTGGAGCCATGCAACTAGTGCTACATTAATGTAATCAGAGTTTGATCCAGACACTGAGTGTTGAGTGGGTACGTGGTGGTGAATTCCTGGGGCTATAAAGGTCCTTGTCTCCTTGTCTTGATGGTCTTAGGCCTCTGAGGGCTTGCAGAGGAAAGTGAAGGAAGGTGGCCCCAGGAATCCAGAAGAGGGTGGGACTTGATGCCACTTGAGGCCGACCGGGTAGGCAGTGAGGGCTCCGGGCGGCAGGGGGCGCCGTCGAGCGGCCGCACCGGGCCCAGCACCGAGCTGCCGGTTCTCGCAGACGGTCCGCCATGCGCGCGCTGCTGCCGCTGCTGAGCGTCGGCCGAGGGTGGCGCGTGGGGGCCGCCGCCCGCCCTCCGCGCCGCGTCATGTCCCTGTACCGCACGGAGGAGCTGGGCCATCCCCGCTCGCAGGACTACCGCCTGTTCTTCAGTAAGTCGCTCGCCCAGCTCCGCGCCGGCCCGCGGAGGAGCCGCGGCGCCGTGCTCTGCCCAGCCGGGTCGGCAGCCCGCGCCCAAGCCCGGGACGGCGGGGACGGGTCGCGGCGCGCAGGGCCGCGCGGGGCCAACCGCTCTCTGCAGCGACCACAGCCGGCCCGTGGCGCCTCGCTCCTCCCGCTGACCTCCGCGCCGTGGCCTGCCGCTCGCCCGCCGCTCGCCCGCGCCTCCCTCCCGGGCGCTGCTGAGCCCTTCCCCCTCCGCACGGACGCAGAACTTTGGGGACCGGGGGCTTCACTCCGAAAGCGAGTTTGCCTGCGACCACGACCTTGCTGTCAGCGCAGGCGTACATGGAGGGAGGAAGTGGGAGGGGAATGTGAGCCAGGCACCGCGATAGGCTTGTGTGCACACGCCATCACGAAAGCTTTTGTTTTGTAAGGTAACTTAAAAACAACGGTAAACTGAGGTTAAAAACTGCTTTTTTCTTTTAACCTAAAAGTTTGCACCCTGAATACCAGTCCACAAGCAGGAGACTGGCCGGCGTTCTTGCCCTGCACATTGAGCAAAACCTAGAGGGAGGTGTCTGGTGCTACCCTGGGCTGGCCGCCAAAGACAGAAAAGCTCCTGGCTTCTCTCCTTTTCTTTTCACACTGTAGGTCTTGTTAACAATAGCATGAAAATAGCCGGGTAGATGAGTTGCCTTCAAGCCTCATTGACTTAATACCCGGTAGGGGAGCTGTAGCAATGTTAAGTCTTGTGCACACCTGTTAGGAGGTTCCACCCTGAAGGCAGAAATACAGACCTTCTGCTTTGAGACCCCATCCTGAGCGAATGTCTTAATTTGCTAAGCATTAGAATTTTTCTTTTTCTTTTCCCCTGTAAAATAGGGCTAGTAGTGTAACTTGAAATCATTAATAACTGTACTTTGATGTTTCAAGTTACTTTTCTCGAACTTAAGGTTGAGGATTATTTTGTGACCAAGGAGCAAACCTTGCTTAAACTCTTGTCTTTTTGTTTTGTTGTGTTTCGAGACAGGGTCTCACTGTGCAGCCCTGGACAGCTTGGAGCTCACAGTAGTATACCTCCCACTGCCTCCTGGATTGAACACCTAGGACATTTCGAATGGCAAACTCTTGTAGTTGTAATTCGTCTTATACTAAATAGTTTCTTCACAATTCGTTTCTATATTCTCCTCTACACTACAGTTTTTTCCCCCACCCAGTCTTGTTTCTTGTTTAGGCAAGATGGATTAGGTCTTTTTAAAAGAGAGTGTGTACACCACCAGAGCATGGATAGACAACAGCCTCAAAACAAGAAACATAAAAATAAAACAACCGTTAAGAAAGAGAAGCCCTTAATAAGTGTGCTCATTTCTGAATGGATTGTATTCCCAAAGTTACAATGTAACAGCCACTGGAAATGTTTTCTGAAGAGATACTGTTACATAATGGCAAACAGCCTAAGCCTAAGCAGATAAGCCCGAGTGTATAATAATATGGCGGACATGTCCTGAGTTTTCAATCAGTGCAGTAATATGTCAATGAATGTCTTCTGTCAGAAACACGCTAGTCTTTCTACCGTGTCAGAATGAATCGAATAACATTACATTGAGAAGCCGCATGGGTTTTGTGGAGCCCTGCTTTGCCCTGATAACTGGTCCAAGCAAACACGGGTTCTTTGTGCATGGGTGCATGCACACGTGGAGGCCACAAATATGAAGTATTGTTCCTTGGGTGCCGTCTCCTGTATTTTTTGAGACAGAGTGTCTCACTGATCTGGAGATAGGTGCAGCTCGATGGCCAGTAGCCACAGAGATCTGTTGGTCTCTGCCTCTCCAGCACTGGGATAATAAGCATGCCCTACCATGTTTGGCTTTGTTACCTGGGCTCTGGGGAGTGAACTTATGCTTGCTTGCACAGCCAAGCACTTTGCCAACCTAGCTATTTCCCCAGCTCAAACCAGGCTCTTGATTCCAATCTCAGTTACCGGTAACTCCAAGCTCAGGCATACACCCGCTGCGGTGAATACATCTCTATGCGTAGGTTACAGAATGACCACAGAAGAGGCTGTAGGTGTTCTAGGGCTTCCCCGTGCCTCTACAGAAAGGCAGAAACTGGCTGATGCAGATGCAGAGAGAATCACTGCAGGTGTTTGTACTAGGTGCTGGGAAATCAGATAAGTCAGAAGTTTGAATCAGGCCGAGAGCCACGGGGTCAGAGTTGAGCCGAGCTTCAAGGTTGAGTCAGGTTGTTCATGTGAATGAAGTGTGGGGAGTGTGGAAGCTGATGTGCAGAACCAGGCCAGAAGTGGGCTGCATCTGAAGCCCCAGGGACAGTGGGAGCTGTCTGTCCTTTGACACAGCTGATGATCAGAGGACAGGTCGGTGGGAGTCAGAATCCTTCAGAATAAGTGTCCTTGATGAGGACAGGAGGTAGAAATACGATAGGCAGTTTAGGGTAGAGGTAGACTTGGGTTAATTTTTTTGTTTTTGTTTTGTTTGTTTGGTTTTGTGTGTGTGCGTGTTGTTGTTGTTGTTGGTTTTGTTGTTGTTGTTTTTTTTGTTTGTTTTTTTTTTGCTTAGCTAAGAGTTGGAAATGTCCTTGCTTTTGACCTGGCCAGATGCCAGGAATGCTGGAAGGAAGCCCTGGTTCCTTGTCTCTTCTAACTTCTGTCCTGGAAGCTATATATGAAGGTGAGACTGAAACTCCAGTCCGGACACTAGTCCCTTCTGGATCTCTAGATTTTCAAGGTAAAAGAAAACCAATGAGTTATTTCTATTTTCCATTCTCTGCTCATCTTCTAAGTGATTAGAGACTGTTGAGTGGGAATGTCATTCTTCGAAACCATTGAGGATGGGCGTACCACTCTGTAGAGGCTCAAGAAGAAAAAGCAGTTTCTTCCTGTCCGGAAGGGTGAACCTTTGGCCCTGGGTGGAGGAGATAAGACAGGCTACCGTCCTCCAAAGACTAGAACATTACATCAACCCCCATAAGAGTTAATCCATCTGGGCCTGTCCATCACCTGGCCAGGACTGGCTGTCAGGGAGGCTGATCCACCTAAGGATATGCCAGGCAGACGGGAGGAATAATTCTGCCTTTAATATGTAATAAGGATATTGTACTTAACCTTCCAGGAAACCCTACCCCAGCACAGAAGCTGACAGAGCTTCTGTCTCTAGCACTGCTGAGCCCGCCCACTTTTCTGAGTTACTTGGAAAATGTAGTTCTTTCTTTTTTTCCTGACCTTCAGAAGCTACCCCTCCGCCTCTCACCACCTAGTGGCTGCTTACCAACTATGGCTTTCTCTCTTTCCAGTCTTCTTCCAGGGAGCCGCCCCGATTCACAGCCTGCATCCCCTGATGATTTTTCTTCAATTTCTAATAAGATTGTCGTCACACTTCCTTTCTAGTCTGCTTCTAGATTCTTTTATTAATGGGACTAGAAACACCAAAGCGGAAACGCAGTATCTGTGGTTCCCAGTGGGCTCCCCCACAGTTTCTGAGAACATGATTTCCTTTATGGGATCCAGGTGAGGATGTGTGTGTGTGTGTGTGTGTTCGTGTATGCACATGCCAGCTACACATGTGGGACCTGGAAAGTAAATGCAGGTTATTAGGCTTGGCAGTGTCTTAGCACTGACCTGTCTTGCCACCCGCTGGTAAGATTTTAATATACCATGTGCTCCTTTAGTCCCAGTTTACTTGGGTAACTTGATAGAGTAGCACTTTGTGAACTTTTAGGAATGATAGGTATTTGTCAGTCTGTTCCTCGTGGCTGGGGCTGGACAGGGCAGTAGACTGTACACTTTTTACATACTGTACCCTGATCTAGGTAGGTTGTATCTCATTATAACAGCAGTTTCAGGCTATGCCCTGTCCCGAGAAACTCCATTCTACAAGCAGAATTTGACTTCCTTTTGAGTCCAGATGCAGAGATGGGGGACTCTGCACCTTGGTGGACAATTAAACGACCAGCCTAATAACCTGCATTTGCTCTCCAGGACCTGTATGTGCACGCATGCGTGCGCACACACACACACACACACACACACAAACACACACACACACACAGTGCTACAACATTCTCACCTACTTTCACAGTTGGCCAAGCACTGGATTTGGATGGGGAGGCCTGGATCATAGTCTTGGTTCTCCTGCTGTTTGCTACTAGGCAAGTAGGCAAGTGATGGTAATGTTTCCTCCTGCAACAGTTCTGTCTTACAATGAGGCAGCTGACCTTGTTGTAATCCTCAAGGTCCTTCGTAGCACTAGCATTCCTTCAAGGCATTGAATGCATTCATAGTAGAAATTCAAGTACTCAGTGTTGGGCAAGGTCTGTGACCGAATCTCTGAGGCTACACTGTAATTTGGTTTTTGGTTTTTGTTTTTAGCATCAAATGTTTATAAGATTATTCTTAAACTGGGATGCCATAAGTAAAAATTTATTCTTTTTTCAATAGAGTGAATAAAATAGAGCAAATGGCAAGAATCCAAATAAAATTGGGTGGGGGAAGGGTTCAAGTGGCTTAATTTTTACTGTAAAGCAGAGTTAGATAATTCCTGTACCTACCACCAGAGGGTACCAGTGGCCCAAGACTGCTGAAAGGGGTGGCTGAAAAGGCAATCAATCAATCAATCAATCAATCAATCTACTTGAGGGTGAGCTGGGGAAGAGGAAATGAAGAACGTGTTGCTTTTTATCCAGACAGCCACAATAACTGAAGGAGAGTTTGAACAGTCACAGGAGATGAAACTGCTAACTACCGGTTACATTTATGGTTACAGTTATTCATTGTAATATCAAAAAAATAAAATTATAAAAAAAAAAGACCCAACCTGGATGCATTTGGTGCTGGTGCCTATAAGAAGTTCAAGGGTGTTCTGTTTCAACAGAGGAAAAGCCAGAGTTACGGGATGAAAGCCATCATTCAGCATTTGCCTGTATTTCAAACATATCCCAAGTCTCTGAGAGCTCGATACAGTCACAGACCGAACAGTTTTCAGCTTCAGTGGGTGGTTTTGGTTTTTTTGTTTGTTTGTTTGTTTTTTGTTCTTTTTTTTTTTTTGCCTCCACAGTTAATAAGAATAATTGGCTGATGAAATGCTCTTTAAAGATTGGAATATGTAGAAATATAGAGACACGAAACTGGGTGGTAAAAAAAGCATGTCGGGGACTGCCCACCCCTCTCTGCCCTGCCCTGTGGCCTTGCTTAGTGACATCATTTTGTAAATCGTGGAGGGGCTTGGACCCAGTAATCCAAACTGTGCCTGCTGTGGTGGATCTTCTGAAGGATGGCCTTCATCTGCTTTTGGTGTGTTCTGGGATGTTCCTTCGTTCTCGTCACAAGACTTTTGCATGTTGATTACTTTTTCTTAATTAATCCTGTAGGTGTCTGGAGATATCCCTCTCTTCTTGCACCTCGATTTATGTTGTGCCCACAAGATCATGAGTCCTGGAAGTAGCAGGCCCACTCTTCTCTAGCAGGACCCGGTCATGTGTGTTCTTGAAGATGGCCATTCTGACCAGGCTAAGATGGAATCTTAAAGTAGCTTTTAATTTAGTTTCCTGATTGTTGAGAACTTGAGTATTATTTTTTAAAAGTGCCCCCTAGCCACTTGCATTTCTCCAGAGGTTTGAGACTTTATGCTCAGATTTATAGCCCATTTTTAATTGGGTTGTTTATTTTCCTGATGTTCAAGGTATTTTTCTCTTTTTTTTTTCCTTTGTGTATTCTAGACAAGTAATCCCCTGTTGTATGTATAAATAAAGTTTCTCTCCTGTTCTGTGGACCACCCACTCATTCACTTGAGTTCCCTTTGCTGCACAAAGGCTTTTTAGTTTCGTAAGATCCCATTTGTTGATTGATGGTCATATCTTCTTTGCAATCAGAATCTTATGTATAAAGTCCTAGCCTGTGCCTGTGAGTTGAAATGCACTCCTTACTTTTTCCTCTGGCAGTTGCAGGTCTTCTGCTGAGGTCCTTCATCCACTTGGAGCTGAGTTTTGTGCATGATAAGAGCTAGGGATCTAGTTTCACACTTCTGTATATTAAATCCAGTTTTCCTAACAACATTTATTGAAGATGCTGTATTTGCCTAAGGTTGGCATCTTTGTCAAAATCAGGTAAATGAAGTTGTGTTATATCTGGGTCCTTGGTTCTGTTCCATTGACTTAGTTGTCTGTTTTTGTACTGATACCATGCTGTTTTTAGTTCTAAATATTTAAGAGCTGGTAAATAATTTTAGTAAAGTGGCTGGATATAAAATTACCACAAAAATTAGTAGTCTTCCTATTTACCAAAAAGAAATTAGAGAAACAATTATATTCATAGTACACATGCATAAACAAATATACACACATATATACACACACACACACACACACACACACACACACACCTGGAAACAAACCTAATCAACGAAACAGAAGACCTCTGCAATGAAAATTTTAGGACACTAAAGAAAGACATTGAGCCCCCAGAAGATGGAAAGAAATCCCATGCTCATGAATTAGCAGAAAAGAGAATGTGGAAATAACCATTCTACAAATCAATACTCCAACGCCATTCTTCAGCAGACATAGAACAAACAACCTACAAGTTTATGGGGAGACACAAAAAGACCCTGAATAATCAAAGCAATACATCTGGGTCATTGGCATCATATCCTTTTGGGACATATCCACCTCAACTTTATAGGTTGTTTTTAGATAGATTTATTTATTTATTTATTTATTTGTTTATTTTGTATATGAGTGCTTTATTTGCATGTATGCCTGCATGATAGAAGAAGGCATTAGGTTCCATTACAGATGGTTGTGAGCCACTATATGGTTGCTGGGAATTGAACTCAGGGCATCTGGAAGAGCAACCCAGTGCTCTTAACTGCTGAGCCATCTTCCAGCCCTGGCTCAACCTTTGAAATGTAGCCAGAAGACATTTTCTCTCTCCACTTCCATCCACGTCACCTATCTGCGTCACCTCATCAGCTGATGAATTACAACAGCCTCCGTGTTCTCTCCCTTTTCTCTACAGAAGACACATCATCCCTTTTAAAATGCACACGCTCTGTTGGAACCCAGACTTCTTTCTATTTTACTCAAAAGAAGTGTGAAGGACTATGCTAGGAGGTCCCTTATGATCGGATGCTAGACATTGCCCTGATTTCAGCACCCACCATTTTTCTGCCTTTGTTGCATGCCTGCCTGGCTGTCCTGTTGCTGTTTCTCAACATCCGTGGTGCTCTCTCTCCTCAGCACCTCCCTCTATATTGCTTCCTTCAGGCTGCTGTTGACTTGCTGCCCGTGTGGACCACACCTCCTGGCCATCTAGACTCACTGTGATTCTCTTTGCCTGCCCTGATCTGTTTACTTTTTTTTTTACTTTTGTGGTGCTTACAGTCATGCTGTAGTTTATGCACATCCATCACTCCTGTCTCCCACTAGAATACGTGCATAAGACCAGGAAATTAGAATTTGTATTCCTAGCTCACGGAATGCTGTATGGAAAGCATATGTGTTCTGTAAATAATTACCAAATGAATTACTGTGAGGACACCTAGGAAACAGGCAAACAAAAAAATCAGAACCCTGAGAATCTGAATATTTAAACATCAATGGGGAGCAGAGAGAGCTCATTGGTTAAAAGCACTTGTTGCTCTTTTAGAGGACCTAGGTTTACTCCAAGATAACTCATAACCCCAGTTCTGGGGACTCTGATTCCTTCTTCTGAGTCCCACAGGCAACAGATGTTCATGAGGTTTACACATGGATGCAGTACACCAGGCACCAGGCATTCATGTCATACATACACATGAGAGACACCCAGTATCATACAAATAATAAAAACCCAAACATTTGTATTTGAGTATTCTCATTCCCGTGTGCTTTTCCTCAGCTGTAGAGAGGATCTCTTCTTATAAGCATCGCCTGTCAATAAAAAAGCTTATGGCCAATGAGCTGAGGCGGAAGTAGGAGGTGGGACAAAACTTGGATTTATGTTTTATACTGAGCTTTGCCTGTACATGTCACATGTCCTGTAGGAGTTACCTTGCTGCCAGGGTAGGGAAGGGGGAAATGAATCGTAATAAAGTCATTCATTTCATAACTACTGAATGGCAGCGAGGTGTTAGCTACCTTTCCATGCAGGGAATTCAATAAAGTGTAACAAAGCAGACAGACACAAGAGCCAACAAGAACACTTCCCCTCAGAATTTAATCCTCATACTGAGTGCTCATGACCTGGGGAGGGGAGTGTACAATTATAGTGAGGTAGTGTGAGAGAGGTGTTGAGTTATACACCCCGCTTTCATTGAGCTGAACTCAGGACTTGCTTATTTGTTGTTTAGTCAATTGTTTTGTGATAATTTTATTAATCATTTACTTTGGCCTTTTACCAGCCTCTTAGCACCTCCAGCTGGACCTTTCTTCCTTCGGACTGTAGGTGGGAATTGCGGGTTATACTGTTAGTTCTCCTGTGGAAATGGATGTCAGTTTAGTCCAATTCACTTAGTAATGAGTCTCTTCTCAAAAGTCAGATTTTTTCCTCCTTGAAGCATTAGTTTACTTTAGATATTTTATGCAGTAGGTGTTTGAAGCTAGGCACAATGTTGAGTTAAATGGTTTCAGCCACTGAGTATGAGTCAGTTGGCATATATTTCTCTACAGGCTGGAACAAGTTTTGAAAGTCAAGTTAAACTCTTACGGCGTGAAGTTAGCTTTGTAAAAAGCATATAAGTTCGAAAGCAGAGGAGGACCTTCTTGTGATAAAAAGCAGAGCATGCACAGTGATAATCCTGTCACTCTTTCCTTTGCAGAGCACGTAGCTGGTCACTACATTTCCCCTTTCCATGACATTCCCCTGAAGGCGGACAGTAAAGAGGTATTGTTTTTACTTGTTTGGGGGATGAAGAACTTCCTGTACACGGTAGTATGAAAATACTTCACTATTGCCCAAAAATGCTCTTGTAGAAATGCCCTGAAAGTCAAAATGTGGTAGGCAGGCAGGAGAAATCAAGGGACTGAACAGGGCTGTAAGCCTCTGTTCTAATTAGAATTTGTGTGAGGCTAGAAGAAAGAGGGTATTTGCGGTCTGTGACATTTAGACTGCAGTACGAATTAAAGGTTCAAGGGTAGTAATATGGGAAATTAATCTGCTTATTTTGAATCATAATATAGTTAGCATTTGCAGGTGACTTCTGTGTGCTGGCCACTGTGTTATTTTCTTTAACTCATGTAAGTTGCCATCACAATGTCCAAGGGCCGTAAGGCAGCAGGCATTTCACTGGTTTGTGTGACAGCCTACAGCTGGCAAGTATCAGAGCCAAGTTTGGAACTGGCCTTTCTGACCACGGAGTTTCTTTCCCTTACCATTCCGCAGCAGAAATATAAGGCTGGAAAAACCTGGCGCTTCGTGGGCGTCTCTCTTTAAAATCACTTGACAGTTAGAAGGATCTTGGTGGGGTACATGTCAGAGCCACTGCTGAAGGGAGAGCTGAGAAGACAGTTAGGCCAGAGCCCGGTGCTTGCCATACCTTATTGTAACTCTGAGGGCAACTACCGTTACTAATTTACTCCTTGATAAGGTTCCATACCTTGCCCTTGGTCTCACATGTGGGTAGGGTGGGTGTGGAACAAAGGTAGACAGACATCTGTGGGTGTAGCATTCTGCCTATGGGCTTTGAGGATCAGGCAAGCAATGCAGAGATCAACACACACGGCATCTGTATAAGCTGCTTTCCCTGTTTCTGAGCCAGTCATGACTACAGTTCTGCTCCTTGTATTTGGAGATGTAGGGTTTTCGGATAGTGTTTCGGGGCACATGACTTGGGATAATCATCTTCTGTTTATCTTGGTTCTTTCTTAGTAGTCATTTTGATGTGTAAGTTTTACATAGACCCGGTGAACATTTTTGAATGGCATAATCTTTCTTCCCGCCCCGCCATGCACTCTGGCTTAATTTAAAAGTACTTAGTGGAGGCACAGTAATCACACCTTGGTAGAATTCACAGGCGGGAGGTATAGCCAAGCACTTTCACAGCTTGTTAGTCAAGCTCCCGGGAGTTTCATTTCAATAATGAAATGACTGTTTGTGGCGCAGTCACTGGAACCTGCCAGTCTCCTTACACTCAGCTGAGCCTCTTACACCAGACAGACTTGGGAAGTTACGTGAGAGAGCTTCAGAATTTCCGATCATTTCCTTTTAAAACACTTTGACCCTCTGTTCATTTGAGGCTGGGGATGCTGAGAGAGAAGCTGTCCAGGCGTTACTGGTAGGCTCTCTGTTGAGTCCGAGTTTCTAGACAGCGACTAGTAGAACATGTTATTCAGTAGGCATGTTTTCGTTGCTGTGCTGTGCATCCTGAATTCCTCCATGAAACGTTCCAATCATAATTATCATCTTTGCTCTTACAGGAACATGGCATTCCCAGGAAAAAGGCACGGAATGATGAACATAAGGTATATTTTAAGATTTCTATTGTTTGAATCATTTAACAATTTATTTTGTGACTATGCTATGTTTGTGTGTGAATGTGCATACACATGCAGGTCGATACTCATGGGGGCCAGAAGAGGGCGCCAGATCCCATTCAGCTAGCATTACTGATGGTGGTGAGCCACCTGTCCTGGGGACTGGGAAGCCAGCTTGGGTCTTCTGGCAGAGCACCAGCACTCCTGACCACATAGCCATTCCTGCATTCTCTGACACGCTCTACAGTCTGCTAATGACCTTGATATAGTTTGCATATTTAAACTACTTCTAATTTTTCCCCTACAAGACTTTTTGTGTGGATTCTGATGATTTTCTCCTAATGTCTCTTTAAGGCATCTGGGGACAAACTCACCATTTAACCTTTTTTATAGTGTTAAAATATTCATAGCATAAAATTAATTATTTTGTCCTTTTCTAACAAGTGTATAACTGGGCTCTTGCCTACTGCTGTCCTTTCCTGCCCCAATTTATTTCTTGTTTAGATTGAAGCATAGAAGATAGTTTGAGAGTCTCTTTCTGAATTAAGGCACAGCAGTCTTTTGGAAGTAGAAAAACAGATACAGCAGCTGCATGCTAAAATAAACTGATTCCAAATGTGTCTTTTAACTATGGTGCCTCTGTAGTGACGACTTGGGACCAACACATTTGATTGGCTCTCTGCCCATCTCTTGCTCTGGTGCCGGTTTCCCTGCTAGCCTTTGCCTCTTTGCTCTTACTCTAGCTCCTTGCCTTCGGAGCTGAAATGGCTGCCCCCAGCCTTTGAGGTCACTTTGGAGCATAGCTCCAAAGGCTGTCAAATTCCTCTACGATTTCCCTGCCGACCGTATTCTGTTCTCCTAAAGCGGTTGTCAGACCGCCTGCGACGTATCCACACTGACACCCTGCAGGCTTGTTGAAAGTGTAGAGTCTGGACCCTTTTTCCTCTCTGCTGACTGAGAGTCTCTGCTCCATGGGGTCTGGCTAGTCTGTTTTAGCGAGTGCACTTCCAGTGTGAGAAAGAACCCTGCTCTAGATGGGGGATGACATAAAGGCTACTACTCGAAGCTTTGTAGTTCCAAGAGACCGGGCATGTTTGTCTGAAATAGTCTTTTCAGTGGGGAAAAATATATTCCAAGTTCAGAGTGTCAAATTAAAATGTAATTGTTATAACGCAGATTATATGTTGGTGACTGATTGGTATTTACAGAGAAGAAAGAAGGGCAGTCTCTTCCCGTTTTACCCGCACATACATGAGGCTCAGTGACTGCTTTGTCCTGTGTTATTAATGTTTCTTTTTTATTTCTTTCTATTATCTGCCACCTCCACCACCCCCCAACCAGGGGAAAAATGTAAAGGAGTAAAGGAAGGGTTAGGTTTCCCTGCTGTATTTCTGATTTGAAATATGGTTTTTGGATTTTCTGACAAAGGATGGTAGGCAGTTGTGGACTTATAATTAATGCCAATCTTCGGTAAACAAGACTGATCCTGGCTTTGATGAGTTACAGTGAGAGCATACTGCAGCCAGAAAGAAGAAAGACAGGTAGCATGAACCCCGGCCATCAAGTGTAAATGGTGACCAAGAGTGTGCCTTGCAGGCTCACATGTCAGACTTGTTCCTAATCTGCTGCTCTTTTGACCCAACTCAGATTGTGTAGCTGTTAGTCAGCCTGGTCCCCTCTGTCACCTCCTGTAATCATCTGTCTATATTTGTTAGCCTGGTCCCCTCTGTCACCTCCTGTATTCATCTGTCTACATTTGTTCTCTTATACCCAGGCTTTCAGGGATGAGTAAGTTGTGCAAACATCTGCCATCTACTTAGGGTTTTCTCTTTAAGAGCTTCTCAGACACATTGAACAGGGACGAGGTCCCTCATGGAAGGCCACAGAGGATGAAGCCGGGCAGCGGCTGTGTATATGGTTGCTACTCTAGGTGTGCGCTGTCAGCCTGAGCTTACCTGTCTGGGGATCCAGCTCTTCCTCACCTTGCAAAACATTGTCTTATCTAGAAGTTTTAATTAAAAAAAAAAAAAAAGCTACCAAGTGGCATTGCTTAAGTTAATAGCATCTGTTTCTCTAAGGAAGTTCCTGAATGTGGAGGAGCCATGCTCTAAGCCAGCTTGGGCCTTATATTAAGATTCTTCAGAGAGCTTTTAAAAATTAGCAATTCCCTGGCTTCGCCCTAGACCAGTTGAACTGAGAAGGTGGGCAGCAGCCCTAAGCAGTCTGATTTTGTGTTTGCCTGCTTGTTTGTTAAAGCTCACCCAGTGGTTTTTATATATGGAGGGTAGAGAGAGATAATAAATTTTTTGCTTTCCTAATCCGTGATAAAAGACTAGGTTTATTTGTTTGTTTGTTTGTGTTTTTTTTTGTAGCTGGATACCTTTTAAAAACACATCAGAGTGAATGATAAAATCTATAATTCAAGCTCTAATTTTTTGTTAATTTTTGAGATTATAGATACATTTCCCTTTCCTCCCTGCAAACTCTCCTTATATACCCTTCCCACTCTCCTAAAATGTATGTCCTCTTCTTTCATTAATTGATATTGTATCTGTGTGTGTATATACATACATACATACACACATACATACATAAATATATATTTAAAATATTTATGATATATATGATATATATATCGTATATATATGTAATTATAACCGCTCAGTCCGTATACTGTTAGTTGTATGTGACATTTTCAAGTTTCAGGGCTGACCATCTGGCAGTGGACAACTAATTAATGTGCTTTTCCCTGTGGGAGGGCTACCTCTCCTGTTCCCAGCTTTCCTCAGTTGCCTAGGTTCCTTGTGTAGGGCTGAGGCCTTGTGTCCGCCCCACCCCAGCCCAGCCCACCCCTCTGGTCCACTTTGGCATGTCCGTTGGTGTAGCTCTTGTTCACCTCACATTTGGACAGTCATGTTGGTGAGACTTCTTGAATTAGCTTTTGACATTACTATGAGCCACCAGCTCCCAGCAGACTTCCTGGGCCTCTGCTGCTTCCTGCCTGTCTGTCTGTCTGTCTGCTCCCCCTTCGGCAGTGTCCCCAGCCCTTTGATGTGGGAATGTTTTATAGATGGACATATATACAGAGCTTTAATTATTTTATTGTTAGATTCTGTAGCTATACACATTACTGTCAGTAACTACAAATGCTTCTAAATGCTCAGTTAACAGTTACAGTCTGGCATGGGGCTGGGCCATGCTTTGGATAATGCTGCTTTAAACTGTTGCTTCCCCAGGACTGATTCCTTGTTGCCGTTAAACACAGTGCCCTTCCCCTTTTACAAGCCTCTTTTAAACATTAAAACTTTCTCTTTGTGAGGCAAGCCTTGAGAATTGTATTTACCCACCAGTGACCTAGTCTTCTTTCAGTTAGGCAATCTACAAAGTACAGAAGTGAGAAAAAGAAGCCATGGTCCTTTTGGAATGTTAAGGAATCTGAAACCACTAACTTTGTTTTAGAAATGCAAGTCCTCGTAAACTTTCTAATACCCTATAGCGATAACTTTAATATTGAATTATGATTCTAGCATGGATGCAAATATTCTTTTCACCATTTCCAGCATTTTTGACCCCTTGATGTTCTGTGTGTGTTCCTTTAAATGACATAATCACGTTTTAGCCGCATTGTCGTGGGTGGAGCAGAAATGGCCTGTCATTCTAGTTCCGCTGGAAAATAAATATCTAAACTCATTTCCTGCCAGGCGTGGCGATGCAGGCCTTTAACCCCAGCACTCAGGTGGCAGAGGCAGGCAGATCTCTGTTAGTTAAGGCCAGCCTGGTCTGGATAGCAAGTTCTAGGCCAGCCAGAGTTACACGGTAAGACTCTGTCTCAAAACACACAGCTGAAGCAGACAACATCTCCTGATTCCCAGTATTGTCGCTGCCCTGAGACGTGACCTTCCTGCTGTGCTGTGTCATCAGGTGTGCAGAGCACCTGTGAGCTAGGATCATGCTGACCTCACTAACAACAAGAAGGGACTTACAGCAGGGTACAAATAGAAGGCAGGAACGAAACAGTTTATGTGTGGGATGGAAACTTACACTATTCTTTTATTAGAGGCCATATTGATTTTCATACAGCACACAGTTCCTCAGTGCCAAGTGAAAAGAAAGAAAGGGTGAATAAAAAATGGTAATGTTGTTTTTTTTTTTCTCTCTCTCTCTCTCTTTTTTTTTTTTTTTGACTACAGACTTTGTTTAATATGGTGGTGGAAATCCCTCGGTGGACAAACGCCAAGATGGAGGTACAGATACATTCTATTAACGTAAAATTGAAAGGCTAACGTAGAAACAGAAAAGCATCGTTTCTAGCCATTTGGCGTATTTGAAGGATGGACGACAGACTTGTCTCTGGAGGAAATAAATTGAAATATTCTTCTGAGCTTAGACCATAATTTCAAAAACAAAATGTTTTGAACTGAGTATCACTTTGGAGGGTGTTTCCATATTTCTGGGCTCACATTTACGTCATTTTCTTTGCCCTTTCTGTGACACGGTGGTGAACACGGTCAAGTTTTGTTCTGACTCTGCTCTGTGCTTAGTTCATAAACACGCACGAAGCGTTTTGTCTGGAGCTGGCGGCCATATTGGTTTCTGGGGATTTAGTTCTTTAGAGTTTCAGGCTGCCCGGGAGCAGCACTCTCTCCCGAGTCTGTGGATGTTATCAAACGGTTGCTACTTCTCGCTTGTTAAGTCTTCTTAAAAACTTTATTTTAATCTTTTCCATGAAGCTCGAGCTGTCGGAACCCTCTTGTGAGCTCCTCGTGCTCGCTCTCCTTCCACTGAACGAGCCCTTCACAGTCTAGGGTGAATTCTCGAGTGTGGCACTTTGATTCTTTACTTCACTGTTTATTTTATATCAGATTTTTTTTCACCCCTTTCCGATGCTAATATGAATATGTTTGATGGAAAAGTAGAACTTTAAAACGAAGTCACTTGACAAAGATCTGAGCTTGATTTTTTTTTTTAAGTTGCTGTCATCAAGCAATATGTATTTGTGGAGTGCAAATGTAATTTATGAACATAAAAGAAAAATAAAGTCAAATTAATCAGCATACCATCTGAAATATTTTGCTCTGGTGAAGTCATCTTAAATTCTTACTCTTTGTGCATTTACAGAGTAGGTCTCCAAAAGGACACAACAGTATTCTTAGCTAAAGTGTCTATATTCTTTGTGGTCATGCCTGCACAGTGTGTGCAGATGGTACCAGAGCCTTCTGCTGCTCCACCCCGAGGATCAAGCTTCCCCATCCCCTCTCACCTCCTGCTCTTTCGAACCTTTGGTAACCACTGTTTGGCTCACACCCTCTGTGAGATTGATCGTGGAGCCCATTTTCTTTGTCCATTGATCAACCAGTGGGCCTTGTTTCCGTCCCCTGGCTGCTGTGAACTCTGAGGCGCCATCAGGTACCATGGTAGTACATGGCCGTCCTTTCCTTTGCTCTCTGTTTGGGACCGAATTCTATTTTCAGGTTCCTAGAGAACTCGGTGCTATTTTCCATGCTGGCTGTGCTAATTTTTATCCCCTCGATTGTACCAAGACTTCCCCCTCAACGTTTTTGCAACATTTCTCCCCTTCCCAGTGCACAAGACTTCTCCCCTCTAAGGGTACAAGGCTTCCCCCTTGATGGGGTAGGACTTTTCCTTCTTGCATCCTCACGAGGAGGACTTAGTATCTCAAGTCTTTGTGATAATGCTCATTCTTACTAGAGTGAAGTGAACCCTCCTTGTGGTAGTTATTGTTAGTAAGCATTTCTCTCTCCCTCTTTCTCTCTCTGCATGCATTCACGTGTGTGCGTGTGTGTGCGTGTGTGTGTGCGTGTGTGTGTGTGTGTGTGAGACTAGGTAGACAACCTTTGAGAGTAACTTCTCTCATCAAGGCTTGATGGAATGCCTTTCCGGTCTGAGCTGTCTTGCTGACCTCCTTGTTACGTCTTGACTGGAATATCCCTGAGAGCTATATTGACCATTTCTTTTTTCTTATTCCTATTGATCATCTGTGTGTCTTCCTTTCAGAATTTTCTAAGTCTAGTGCTTATTTTTTTAATTATAGCTTTTTGATTATTTGTTTTTCTAGTTAGCTCCTTTGTTTCTTGTATATTTTGGACTTTTAACCCCTTGTCAGATGAAACACATTTTCTCCCATGATGTATATTGTCTTTACTCTGTGATTGTCTCCCTTGCTATGCAGAAGCTTTTTGGTTTGATGTAATCCCATTTGTCTATTATTGCTTTTATTGCCTGTGTTTTTTTGTGACAAGTCCAAAAAGTTGTTTTCTATGCCAGTTTGTCCTTTTCTCCTGTTTTTTGGGTAGCAGTTTAACAGCCTCTGCCTTAGATTTCAGGAATCCATTTCCACTTGGTTTCTGTAAGCATTTAGGTTAGAGGGACTCAATCTTGTTCTTCTGCTCATCTTACGTTGTTTTCCCAGTGTGGTTTCTTGGGGAGAATGCTCTTTCCCCATTGTGTTGCTGGCACCTGCTGAAAACACTGGTGGTCTGTCTCACCTGTCTGTGTGTCAGAGACTGACTTTTGCAAATTTCATTTGATCTTATTTCTGTGGCTCTGTAGTGTAGTTGGGATTCAATAATGTGATGGCTTTTCTTTTTGCTCATAATTGCCTTAGCGTTTTAGGGTGTGTGTGTGTTTCCATGGAAACTGCACGGTTTGCTCTTCCTATATCTGTTCTTTTTAAATGACTTTGGAACTTCACTCTGGATCACAGTGACCCTGATTCCTGCTACTTCTCATCCAACACAGGATGTCTTTTGTATATTTGTGTCTCCTTTGATTTTCTTTCTGTTTATCATCAACTTATAGTTTTCAATAGGAGCAAATCTTTATCTTCCTCCATTAAAGGTTTTTATTGTTGTTTGCCTGTAAATAGGACAGCCTCTGGATTTCTGCTTTGAATGGTTCATTGGTAGTATACAGAAGTACTGTGGGATTTTGTGTGCTGATTTTTATATCCTGAACATTCACTACATTCACTTTTTACTACATACATTCATAATTTTAGAGGTGTATGTGTGTAAAATCTTAAGGGCTTTCTGCATATATGATTGTATTATCTATAAACAGTGATGATTCTATTCCTTCCTTTTCTGTGTGGATGCTTTTTATTGCCCTTGCCTAGCTGCTCTGGGAAGGACTGCCAGCATCCTGTCGAGTCAGTGGGAACCCTGAGCATCCTTGGCTTGTGTCATCTGTCTTGTTTATGTGTGTCAGTGTGAATATGCTTGGGTATCTGCAGGCGCTTCCAGAAGAGGGCGCTCTGGGTGTGCTTCTCCATCCCTCTCCCCTTGTTCCTCTACAGTGTCTTCCTGAACCTAGAGCTTGGATCTCTTCTGTGCTGGGAATCAGCAAACCCCTGGATCCTCTGTCTCCACTACCCCCAGAGCTGGTTTCACAGATATTTGTTTGCAGAGCTACCTGTTACATGCACTCGTGTCTGATGCTGGTCCCTGAACCTTGTAGCTGTCTACAAGCAGTGTTCCTCAACCTCCTTACGTGGCAGCCGTTCCTCATGGTGTGGTCACCACCCCACGAACCATAAAATTATTTTTGTTGCTACTTCCTAACTGGAATTTTGCTGCTGTTAAGAGTCATAACTCCCTGTGTTTTCTTCGGGTCTTTTGGACAGTGACCCACAGGTGGAGAGCCACTGCTCTAGTCCTCGGTATGGTAAATGCCTTTAGCCAACTATAATATCATAAGACTTGGCAAGAAAAGCCTCAAAATTAGCAGCAACAACAACAAATTGTCAAATAACTTTTGCCCTCCTATCTTTCTGTTCATACTGTTTTTCTTAGAAACAATGCAGTGTATAAATAATTTAAGCCTAAATCTGTAATCAGGTATCTTCTTTCCAGACAGATTTTCTTACATAGTACTTGCTAATTAGTAATGAGAATTGACTTAATTTACTTTAAAAATACCTTTAAACATTAAGTTGAGATGTGGGTATTTGTTTGAGCTATGGTAGGTTTAAAATCTGTTCCTTGTATACAGGGCTAATTGTTTTACCCCCTCCCCGTGCCTTTCCCTGTGATCTTCCTAGATTGCCACAGAGGAGCCACTGAATCCCATTAAGCAAGATATAAAGAACGGAAAGCTACGCTACACACCAAATATCTTCCCTCACAAGGGCTATATATGGAATTATGGGGCCCTCCCTCAGGTAACATTTCTGTTATCATGGTAAACTTTTATGTCTTCTAAAGAAATCACCTTGTGAATCCGGTGAACTCCCTGAATTTAAATTAGCTCCTAGAACATGCTGGTTTCAGGGGTTTATGAAATTAATTTTTTTTTTTTAATTTCATAAACTTTATTATTTAAAAAATACATGCACTTTTCGGCTTTCGGCTCGGAGGAGGCAACGGTGCAACTTTCTTCCGTCATCCCGAATCCGGGTTCACGGCGACTGGGAGCTGGAGCGGGCGAAATTAATTTTTTAATGTGGCATTCACTTGTTGCAGTAAGCTTTCCTTCAAACCACACATATCGTCACTACTACAGTTCTTAGAGACAGGCTTGGAAGATTGACAGCTGACATCTGAGTACATCTCTCTTTGTCGGCTTAGCTGATGTCAATGAAGAATTTTCAGCAAGTCTTTCTCTAACCTTTACATATGCTTCTGTATACGTTTCTCTATGACTGAATGGGTTTTATTTTTAATAAACCTAACAGGCAAATTGAGTTAAATTACAGATGGAGCTCACTGTTGTAAGTCCAGAATTCTGACTGGAAGACAATGAGGGGGAGGCTGAGGGATGGCAAGTCCTCATTCTCAACACAATACCCTCACTGACATTCCTGGCCCTTCCTACCCACCTGCCAAGTTCCTCAGTCTTTGAAGTAGCAACTCTGTCTGATTATTTAGTCAACTCGATTCTGTCATCTGCTGTGTGGAAATTTAATGTTTGTATTTTTATGTATTAATTTTTAATTACATGAAAATGTACATGGGGGACCCTGTAGGAAATAGAGCAGCTATGAAAAACAGATGTCCAGTTAGGGTAAACATTCCTGAGAAAAGAAAGAGGAAAACTGTTCTTTCAAGAGCCAGCTTCCCTTTGATGCAGCCAGACCACCCGCGTGGATGCACGCTTGGGTAAAACCTGTACTCTGGAAATGGTGACTAGAAATGTGAGTGTATGTTCAAGCCGTGAAGGCAACTGCCTGGACTTCTTGGGTTTCAAAGTAGATGATTCTGTTGGACCTAACAGGGAGAAGTTAAAAACAGCTTAGGGGATTGTGGGAGAGAAGACTGCAAGGCTGAAAGGAGGGCCAGAGAAGCTACCAATTAGCAGCAAAACCAGAGATGCGCAGTTGAGCAGTTCGGGAATAAGCTAATATCCATTTCTTGAACTACTTCTTAGGGATGATGTGCTAGGAGTCACGGATGTGAAAAGATGAGAGTTAGGCATGAGGTTCAGCAGAGCGATGGATGACCGAGTGTGTGAGCTTGAGAGCCCGTCTGTCACCCCAGCAAAGTGACCTTGGATGAGATGCTCTGTGCTTTTGCCTCTGTCTTCACCTGTAAAGTGGAGAACGTGAATATCTGCTGCACGTGGCTGTGCTGAGGTGCACATGACTGTTTCCTTAGACATGTGTGACGGACAGCACGCCATGACCACTAGCTGTTCTTTTGTCTGAACTGTTACTGTTTGGTATAGTGGTTTCTTCCTATTGCTGTGACCCTTTAATACAGTTCCTTATGCTGTGGTGACCCATGACCATAAAATTATCTCATTGCTGCCTCATAACTGTAATTTTGCTCCTGTTTAGAATCGTAATACAAATATCTGGTATGCAGGCTACTTGAGATCCCACAGGGGTCGCAGCCCACAGATTGAGAACCACTTGCTGGCTTTGCTGTGTTTATTCCTTTTCCAACGTTATTTACAACTTGATTACAGCCATCGACAACTAAGTCAGTGGTTACAATGTAGCATGACTAGTGCTGATAACTCTTACTGATTCTGTTAATTTATTTTATTCAGAAAATAGTAAAGCAAAGCTGGGCGTGGCAGCCCATACCTGCAATCTCAGCACGTGGGAGGGTGAGGCAAGAGGATGGGTGCCAGTTTGAAGCTGGCCTAGGTTATATATAGCAAGACCTGGTCTCAACCCTACCCAGCCCTGCCCCCCCAAAAAAAATTAACAAATGAACAAAAAGCAGGTCTACTCGTGAGAAAAGAAGGGATATGAGATCATGACTGAAAACGAAAGGAGGCTCTTCTGTGGTTTTCTAGTTAGAGAACGGGTGCCTCTTTCTTTTTTCTTTCTTTTTTTTTTTTCTGTTCTGGGTGTGCGTGAATTTTCAGGGTGTCCTTATCCTCCCTGCTTTGAGTCTGTGACATACGGCTGCTCTTTCCTGATTCAACCGATCTGAACTGGAATCGTCTCTTAATTTTCTGTGCATTGTCTAAGTTTCATGCTCCATTCTATGTCCAAAATAATGTTTCAGAAATAAAGATCTGGCCAGGCGTGGTGGCACACGCCTTTAGTCCCTGTATTTGGGAGCTGGAGGCAGGTGGATCTCTGTAAGTTTGAGACCAGCCTGGCCTATGTAGAGAGCTCTAAGACAGCCAAGTCTACACAGAGAGAGCATCTCTGCAACACAGAAAGGTCTGGTGACGTTTTCCCACTGGTTTCTTATTGGTAAGAGGATAAAGTCTGAAACTCTTAACCCTGGCCCCTTGCCCTACGTGACTCTCTCCAAGGCTCACAGGAAGACCCCCTCTTCTTTACTTCTTCCCCTGCAGACTGTCCAGTGTTGTAATCTCCAGGCCTCCACAGTGCCAGACCATTCAGCATACACTCACTGGTGCTATGTATTTGCCAGAGGGTGTTCCTTTTCTGAGTACTAGATGAAAAGCCAGATAAAAGTAATCAAATTCCTTGGGAACTTTTAATCCATACAGAAAGTCAGACAGTCAACAGAGTGAAATGTCAGATGTTAAAAATATGAAAGAAGGGGCTGGAGAGATGGCTCGGCAGTTAAAAGCACCGGCTGCTCTTCCAGAGGACTCAGACTCAATTCCCAGCAACCACATGGTGGCTCACAATCATCTGTAACTCTCAAATCTCAGGGGATCCAGTCACCTCTTCTGGTCCTGGGACACCAGCCACACATACATATGTGTAGGCAAAACACTCCCACACTTATATAAACAACATTAATTTTGAAGAAAGAATGTGAGAGAAAAGTAAAGCAGGGAATTGGGCTATTGGGTATAAAGAGTGTTTCCATTTAGACCTTGAGAGATCCCATGACCTGGCATTGTCTGAATAAAGACCTCAGAGAAACAAGGGAAGAGTTAGGGCGGGCATTCAGAGGAGAGGTACCACAGTGGGATGCAGTGCATGTGAAGGGCCTGAGCTGGTGCACAGTGAGCTAAGAGGAGGCTGGACATGAAGGAGAGAAGCGAGCACATCTATGCTTGCTTCCGTTTCCAACCAGCAAGCCTAACTATCTTTTAAACCCAAACTGATCTCAGCACACACACACACACATGCACACGCACACACACACACACGGGTACAGCTTCAGTCCTCATACAACTTCACTAAAGATTTCATATGTTATCCCCCACATAAAAATAACTAAATGGAACATTTGTTTAGACCTGAAATTACAGAGACTGCTCATGGCGAGGCATAATTCCATGTAATATCTTTTTGCATGATTATTGATCAGACAGCTTTTAGAATGAAAGCCAACTACTGGCCCCTTTGGGATGCAGTCTCATCTCTCTTCTGCACCCCCCAACTTTCTCCCCCCTCTTCCTTATTCCCCTGCCCACCCTCCAGCTGACTCCCTTCTCCATTTTCACCCCCACTGCCTTCTTTCTGGAATATGCCTTTCCAGTATGCACACAGGTCACTGGCTGGAATGTTTGCTCCAGGCCAAGTCTTTGTGATCTCTCTCAAGTCTCTTGTAAATCTTTTCACCCTGCCTCTTGAACTGTTATGATTATTCCCATGTGTTACTCCCCATTTTTCTAAGTATCCACCAAATTATAATTGACTACGTAATTTGTCTTGTTTACTGCTAGTTTCTTGGAAGTTAGAATACAGATGTCATTAGCTCAGGGTTGTTTTGTTGGTAGCTTATTTCAATGGACCAATTTGCTTCTTGGCACACTGAATTGGTGATCAGTTATTTTGTGTGTGCTTGTGTCGTGATGCTGGCCAGGTGCAAGGATTACAGGAATGTCACACTGTGCATAATAGTAAACATCTTAGAGAATGACTAAGTCGGTGACTTCACTGAGGGTGTGTTTGCTTCATAGACACACACAGACAGATATGAAGTCTATTTGGTTGCTCCCATTTTGTCTCGGTCAAGCAAGAAGTTCATTGAGAAGAGTTACCAAGCCAACTGCTTGGAGGGATATGTAAGCAGCAGAACTCTAAGTAGAAATCTTATTGATGAGGTTGTGACCCATCAATATGACGTCATTATCGTAGGCTTTCTGTCTTCTCTCCCACACAGTGCTTTCCTCTGCCTGTAAGTCGGCCTGGCGTAATCATCATCTTTCTCTTCTCAGGGCACTTACGTTTAACTGAAGTTTACCCACAATTAACAGGGTTGCTCCAGCATTCCCTTTATCTGAGTGCATATTTAGAAGACTTGTCTGGAGAATATTAAAGAATTAGTTTCACTTTAAAATTAAGCCTTCAGTCTGAATACAATGTCGACGTGTTTATTATTTTAACCTTCCTTATCAATTTGAGTCATTGACCACACAGATTAGATATTGTTTTTGGTTGGATTTAGAGCCTGAGACAAGAGACTAAATCTCTCTGGGCCTGTTTATTCATCTGATCATGAGTCCTACCCAGAAAGCTATTGTAATAGGATGTGTTCTGGGCAGGGCTGAGCCTGTTAGCTCTGCAGCGAGGCTATTGCCACTGATGTTAGCTGATTATGATAAAGTTGATAGACTCTATCCAGGTGAAGCTTGGGGTTGGGGTGGGGCCTGGGAGCCTGCAGATGGGGATGGGTAGCTCCCAGTCCAGTCTGGTGTTAAGAACCTAGATGATCAGCAAGAAGCTGTCAATACCACCTGTGTGTGTGCTGCTGTATCCGCCTGTGTGTGTGCTGCTGTGTCCACTTTTGTACTGCTGTGTCTGCCTGTGTGTGTGCTGCTGTGTCCACCTGTGTGTGTGCTGCTGTGTCCACCTGTGTGTGTGCTGCTGTGTCCACTTGTGTGCTGCTGTGTCCGCCTGTGTGTGTGCTGCTGTGTCCTCCTGTGTGTGTACTGCTGTGTCTGCCTGTGTGTGTGCTGCTGTGTCCACTTGTGTGCTGCTGTGTCCGCCTGTGTGTGTGCTGCTGTGTCTGCCTGTGTGTGTGTGTGCTGCTGTGTCTGCCTGTGTGTGTGTGTGCTGCTGTGTCTTTTTCAATGATTTTCAAAGAGACCTACTGGCCAGAGCATGGTTATGAAAGCATATTGGTTAATACAGACTGTAAGGTAATGATTTCCAGTTCCTGTACAAAGCTAGGATCTTGTTTTAGGCCATACCAATATGTATTCTGATTTCATGTTCATAGATGTATTCTCATTTCTTATAGATTATTTGTGGCTTTTAAAAAATGTTTTCTTGTTTCCATGCTAAGACTTTTATTTTTTAGATTATCTACTAGATAGACATTTATGAATCAAGTTGTGAGTTATATACCCATTCTGCTTTACTAAATATTCTCAAATGATTCATACAAGAAATTGTAACAGTTTACATTCTTACCAGCATTATATAATATAGGTTCCAGGTCACCGATGTCATATTATTTTGAGTTAATAGATCTCTAAATTCTTCAAAATAGTGTTTGAATGCAGTTCTAATTTGTGGTTCTCAAATCAATTACTTTTCTTACATGTATAAATCATTCATATTTATTTTTCTCCCTTAAATTGCTTGTGTCTTTAGCCCCCTTTGTCCTGTTTGCCCTTCTCCTCAAGAACAGTTTGAATGTGCCCCTCCTCATACTCCTTCATTGGGCTGAGACTTTTTTCCTTTTGCCCTGTTATGCACCTAAACTTCCACTAGAGGGCATTCTCAAAGTTTTACATTGTTCTAAGTTTCCTCGCCAGTTGAAATTACACTGTTTTCAAATTAAAAGTGATGGTGTTTAATGTAAATCCCTTTATAATAGAACCTAAGCCTGTAGATGTAAAGCGTGAAAGGCTGAGGTAGGGAAGGGACCAGTCTGTGCTTTGGGGTTGGTTGGGTTTTGCTGGAACAGAAAATCATGAATAAATGGCCCTAAAATTAACAGTACCGAATGGCTTAAGATGATCTCATTGTATTGCTAGTTCCTCATCATGAGGAACTAAACTGACAGATACTATTGAGAGTGAGATTGTGAGAGTGAGTTCAGTCAGCCAGTCAAGAAGCAGAAAAATTCACCAATGGGCTGTAGACATGGCTGGTGGTTAGGAGCGATGTTACTTTTGCAGTGGACCCAGATTCAGTTCCCAGTAGGCACATGATGGCTCACAGTCATCTGTAACTCCAGTTCTCGGGGATCCAACTCCCTTTTCTGGCCTCTACGGGCACCAGGCACATGTGTGGTACACATATATACATGCAAGCAAGCGTCCATACACATAAAACAAGAGTAAATCTTAAAAGTGAGAAAAAAAAATCTCCAAAGCCATATTGCGTACGTGTTATGAGAACACAGTTTTGTTTCAATATAAGGGACACAGACTGTAGAGATGGCTCAGCTGTTATAGGCTCAGCTCACAAGCAAAAGCACAGTATATGGAGAGAGCGTGTCAAAATTAATGTTGCTTTATGTAGGCTAAGTTAGCTCTCTGTTCACCGGTGATAAGGTTGGAGATTATGAGTGAACACTGACAATCGAGACAAGGCTGGGATGTGCCCAGACCTTACTCATATTGCTTGTGTCTTTCCTTATACAGTTGAGGAAACTGAGGACTAGATGTTTAGTAAAAGTCCTTGTGGCTGAGGCAGGACTGGTTCATCTGCAAGTGGCATTCCTGCCTCAGGAAAGAGCACACTCATTGACGTTCCTAGCTTTATGATCTAGATGCTCAATTCCAGTTGGGTCCCATGTGGTTTTCTTGCACACCGAGACAACTTTTGCACCGTTTATTAACGGCACTCTCTTGGTTACTGAGCCTGCCTTATTCCAGCCTTGCGAGTAGATGAGGATGCCTAGTAGTCGGCGTGGGAAAGCAGCTGCAGTGTCAAGTCTAGGAAAGAACAGCGATCTCAGGAAAGTGCACACAGACAAGGAAAGGCTTGTCAAAGAGGTGACCACGAGATGGAGTTTGCTGATGTTACTGAAATCCCAGCATCATGAGTCCGAGTCACATGATGGGTTCTAATCCTGTCTCTGCTACTCAGACCACTGTAAACAGTTACACTTTATTTGTACAACGGGCTGAGTAATAATTTATTCCTTACTGTGTGTGTGTGTGTGTGTGTGTGTGTGTGTGTGTGTTAGAATCTGTCACCTGTAGCCAGTACGTAAGGTTAACAATTATATTGGTTGTTATTCTTGTAGGTTTTTAGTTGTAATAGTATTGGGGAACTCTTGCTGGACCTGTTTATTTTGTTGTTGTTGTTTTTAAGTAAAGATGGATATGTAGATGTATTATAATCTAGACTGAAAGGAACATACTGCAGTTTTTCTAGGGTTGCCAGTAAATAAGTACACATTTTAGTTGCATAAAATAGAGAAAGTATACTGGATAATGTAAATGCCAGGGTAATAGCAGTGGCTGAATCTTGAGATGACAGCTTCTCATTCCTTCTAATGTCAACTTAAGGCAAATCATTTTAGTCAATTTCTGTAGTTTGATTCAGAGTCAAGCAGTTGTGAAGCTTCTGGGAAGAGATAATGCCTAAGAGAGATTTTAAATTGATAGCAAATTCCCATTACATTATTCATCTCCAAAACTGTAACATATATTTTGTAGCCAACGGGTCATCGTCTTCCCAGTAGACTAGAAGAATTGACTTATTTGCATGATTTTGTCAGGATCTTGAAATTTAGTGACAGAGGTAGAGAAGGTTTTAAGGGAGGGAAATGAGACAGACGTGTTTTCTTTCCTGTAGTAAATAATGCCTTGTCCTTTGTTTTTGGAGGGAACACAGTTTCTGGCAGTAGGAGACATTTAACCAATAAGAAGTTCATTTTGGATGTGAAAAGCGAGACTAGAGGCTGCCACCGTGTTAGATGGGCAGTGAGTGACACGAGCCACAGATAAGACAGTCAGGAGACAGGCAGACTACAACTCTGAGATTTGTGAATGTAACTTTAGCCACTGACTGAGCTTAGAAGATGAATCTTCTGGAAATACCACCCACTTTCAGATGTGATTACCCAGACAGATTAGAAACAGAGGGAGGAATGGCTGTAAATCTGTTTTAATTATTGTGATGCTTGGGGGGTGTGCTGCCATGCTAGCCAGAGCCCGAGTAACCTCAGATTGTTTTTCCTTTGGATCGTGGCTAGCTCTAAAGCCTCGCGGTCACGTGGACAGATTGGGCTGTACTGCGGTGAGTGTTCACCTACATTCCCGCCTCACTTGTGTCTCTGTCTCGTTCCTTAGACCTGGGAAGACCCTCATCTGAGAGATAAGAGCACAGACTGCTGTGGAGACAACGATCCCATTGATGTTTGTGAAATAGGCTCAAAGGTTTGTCTTCCAGATGTTAAGCCTCACGTGTTCTGGTTTATTCCTGTCATAAAATTTCATTTTGGCCTCCAGCTCTCCCATTCTTCAAAGTCTGGGCATGCTCATTTCTCTGATACTCAGACTGCTATCTCTTTACTTCCCTTCCCTAAGTCCGGCTTGGTAAACCACAGCAGGTGAAGTCCAGCTACCGCCTGGTTCTGATAACATACGTGACACAGCTGCATCCGTGTGCGCCTTGTCCAGGGTACTCACATCACAGCAGCTGAGCTGAGGACTTGTAGCAGGGACTGTAAAGCCTAAAGCATCCACCGTCTGACCCTTTATTGGAAGCTCGCCAAGCTCTGTCTTCAGATCCTTTGCTGCTGTCTAGACAGAGACTTCAGTACTGACGAAAAGCAACTGCTGGAGCTGGGCGTGGCTTCCTGGTAGGATGCTTGCCTGAAAAGTGTGGTCCTTAGGACCCGGGGGCAGAGCTAAGGATGCTGACACACACCTGAAATGCCAGTTCTGGGGAGGCAAAGACAAGCAGATACCCAGAACTTGGTGACCAAATAGCCGGGTCTGCTTGGTGAAGTTCCAGGCAGTTGAGAGACCCTATCTCAAATGAAAGCAAGAGGAGCCCAAGGAATGACACTGGAGTTTGTCCTCTGACCTCACCCATGTGTCCCTGCACTCACAAGTGTATACAAATGTGCAAGCACACGCACACGCACACACACGCACACGACAAACAGAACAGAAACCCTCCTCTTTATCTATTTGCTTCCAGGCTGCCGAGTCCTGTGGAGAAAAACGAAGTCGTAGTCCGCAGGCCTATGGGCTCCTACAGCCCATCAAATCTTCTGTCTCTCCGGCTCCTCTGTTTCTACAGCATGTTCTCTTGTTGTTTATTGTTGCTCTGTGCTCCTCCTATGTGGTTTGTGTTCTCAGGAGAGCCTCTCATCTTTGAGGTCAAGTGTGCCCCCCCCATACCTGTGTTCAAGATTTCCACACTTCCTGCCTCTAAGTGGCGTTTTCTTCTTCTTTCTCTGTAGTATCAGCAACTCCTCTTTCATCTTTGGCTTCTTCTCACATGCAGCCTCCCTTACCTCTACACAGAGCCAGGTAAGAAGAGCTGTCAGTACCCCTCCGTCTCTTCCTTCTCTTTCAATTGTCACTCCGTTGTGAAAAGGTTCCATCTTCCCTCCCGACATCATTTTAAACACACCACCCTCCCTGGGCCCCAGACAGCACTGCAGAGGCAGTGGGTTTCCTTCAGTGCTCACTACCGAACAGAGCAGTCCCCTTCTTCCTTTGAGGCTCAGGAGGTCTTGCATGGGACTTAGATTATATCACAGAAGTTTACTTTCCCTCCGAGTACTCTGGCTCCCTCCCGGTGGTTTTTGTTGCAAACTTTCCTTCTGCCCACTCAGCCCAGGGGAGCAGGAGGGTGAGCCCTTGTCAACCCCTATCCTCCTTCCAAGGACCCCAGGTTTTGCTCTTGAATTGACGACTTCAGCTCATCTCCTTGCGTTCAGCGTTCTAGATTCTGATGTCTCCTGGGCCTCTCCAGCTTGTGTTCCAAGTTGTATTCGCTTTTTCCTTTTTTAAATTCACAGCTCTCGGTATTTTTTAATATCGAGACAAAGCAAAACAAAAGGTGAGCCACAAAGGCATAGTGAATAAATAGAAGAGATGCTGCCTGAAGACATGGCCCCTTCCTTTCTCAGCTCCACTATTCCACCAGAAGCAGGCGTCATCCTGACAGTTTGCTTCTCTTCACCCAGCTAATGACCCAATATTGATTTTGTGTCCCAAAGAGCTTTCAAAACCAATTCTTTCCCTTCCCGCTGCAGTAGCTTCATCTAGTTTGATGGTAATGTCTCACTTGACGTACTCCTTCTACTGTCCTGTTTCCTCACTGAGTTTTTATTGCGCCAAACTCGGCTGCCTTACCCCTTTTGGTACAGCCTCTCCTGACGTTCTTGTATGCACACTGCCCGCCAGCTCTAGTCCATCTGAACCGGCCTTCAGTCATCCTCTTTATGGAGAGAGTTGTGCTTTCCCACTGCGCCTTCTTTTCTTTGTTGAGCTAAAAACTCACTGCCCTGGGCAGTCGCGGATCCACCGGCTTCAGTTGCAGTCCTTTGCTAGGCACATGCGCAGTACTGAATACAAGCAGGGGTCCAGATCTCCACGTTTTTTGAGGTAGTTAAACTCTGAGGACAGGAAGGTCCACTGCATCTGTCCTCACTCCTGGGCTCAGTGCCTGGCATGGAGAATATGCTTAATTTAAAGAATGCCAAGTGGAATTTGCTAGTTGTTACCGTCTTCTGACTTAGTTGAAGTCAGTTGTTAGAAACTGACGTTTTCATCTTCAGGCGGCGTCTATCTGTTTCCTTAGGATTCTCGATTCTCTCCTTGTTTCCAGTGTCCGTCATTCTGATTCCTGCTTGTCGCCTCTTAATTGTCAGTGTCGTTTGTTGCTTTTTCATGCCTTGATTTTCTACTTTCCGTTCTGGCATCTCTCCCTCTTCTCATTCGTCATCCTATTCCTACTCCTTTTGTGAGGTGAGAGATCCTGTCTGCCTCGAAATTCTGACTTTATACACAGATTTGTCAGAATTCATGTGTCTGTTACTGTTATTCTTGCCTGGCACATGAATTCAACAAAAAATATGAATGAAGTATTGACTTTTTTTTTTCAAATTTAAGGTGTAGTTTTCCGAATTTATCTTTTTTTTTGGTTTTTCGAGACAGGGTTTCTCTGTGTAGTCCTGGCTGTCCTGGAACTCACTCTGTAGACCAGGCTGGCCTCGAACTCAGAAATCTGCCTGCCTCTGCCTCCCAAGTGCTGGGATTAAAGGCATGTGCCACCACCGCCCAGCTCCGAATTTATCTTTTAAAAAATGTTTTCTTCTAAGAGCGATAAAGAGATGTATATAATATTAAATAGGCTACAGAAAAAGAAATGATTAATCATTGTAATGAATACCTCCTATGCCGAGATTCTATGCCGAGCTCCTTGGTTTCCTGCCCGTTTCTTATTTCATAACAAGTGAAAATCACTAAGTAAAATTTCATTGCTGAAAAGATTATGTTTTAAATTTTTTTTCTTGTTCTTGGAATATAACTTGTGGGGGGTAGTCAATTCATATTTAGTACAAAATATTCAGTCAACTTAACTGGTATGAATAAAAATATTAAAGGCATCTTATTTTCACCCATGTCAGTGTGACAATGAACATGTAATTAGTGAGATTGGAACTGGAAATAAATGTTAACAACATTTGACATAAGTTGACATGGCACAGTCACACTTATCTGAAAGTCAAGAATACTAAGAAAATTTAATGTGGATTTTTGTGTGTTTTCTGTATATTTGTTTTTTTGAGACAGAGTTTCTTTGTATAGCCTTGGATGTCCTGCAACTAGCTATGTGGACAAGGTTGGCCTGGAACTCACAGAGATCTTGCCTCCCAAGTGTATAATTATTATTGAAAGCATTTTTTTTTACATTTTACATAAATGTAAAATGTGGTATATAGTAAGTGTGTAGTATATAATTATTGAAGAATATATTAATATTGTTATATTTTGCTAGATTATTCTAGAACTTACAATATTATAGGCCTGCCTACTATTTAAACCCTAGGCAGAAAATTCACCCATTCAAGATTTCTTGGTCCATGTGATGGTTTGTATATGGTTGACCCAGAGAATGTCAGTATTTGGAGGTGTGGCCTTTTTGGAGTAGGTGTGGCCCTGTTGGAGTAGGTGTGTCATTGCTGGTGTAGGCTAAGACCCTCATCCTAGCTGTCTGGAAGCCAGTCTTCTCTTAGAGGCCTTCAGATGAGGATGTAGACCCTCTCAGCTCCTCCTACACCATGCCTGCCTGTGCACTGACATGTTCCTGCCTTGATAATGGATTGAACCTCTGAACCTGTAAGCCAGCTCCAATGAAATGTTGTCCTTTAAGAGCTGCCTTCCTTGGTCATGGTGTCTGCAGTAAAACTCTACCTAAGACAGTCCACAAGAATAGAAAACTTGTTCACACTGTTGCACACACTTTGACACTGTTACTTACCATTATTCTCTTTTGTTAACTGGGCCTGGTTGAAGTTTGTTCCCGCTAGGGTGGAATCAGTATGTAACATAGGTTTAAAGACTCTTCTTATAGTTGATTATTCCAGGCTCCTGAGACCATGCATTTGGTATGACTATTTTAAGAAATCCATGTAGATCCTAGAGGGGATAATACTCCCTGTAGAAACCTTTTGGAGAAGTACATATATGAACTGCAGCATGGGGACGTAAGATATGATCTTCACTTTACTGGTGAGAAACTGAAACCTACAAGATTGTGTGGAATAATTTGCTTCAAGTCATCTCTTAGGATTGTGGAGAACAAATTCAACCCAACATTTATGACTAAAGATCCTGCCTTTTGAAATTTCCCCACAAGAGCTAGAAAAGACTTGCTGGGTATACCTGAAACTTGGGGACAAAGTTATGATCTTCCTTTCAGAATCTCAACCTAGTTTACAAACTGAATAGTGTTTGCTCCAGCAGAAGTGGTCACCGCAAGGATAGAGTGACAGCCCTGCTGGGACAGTCGATGTCCTCTGTCAACTAGAGGAACTAATTCCTCCAGTCAGCATGAGCCATGGCAGAACTTACTAAATGAGAAGTAAATACAGTCTCCTTTGAACGAAGCAGTGTCTAAGGAGTGTCCTAAATGAGCTATAAGAAAAATGGCGGTGGGAAGTCTTTGAACATACATAGCTACTGAGTGAAGGAAAGAAACAGGAGCCTGTCAGTTGATAGTAGACTGAGGGCCACAGACAGAAATGTTTAACATTGTGAATTTCTTGAGAGAACATGAATATTCATCTCTCCTTCATGAGAAGACTGCACATACGGTCAGCATAAACTTATTGGCTTGATTTTTACTGGAGTGTGGCAGCTTTATACAGATTTTACCATTTGTTCTAAGCACCCTTTACAGTTTTGGGTTTGAGTTTCCTCCTCTGTTGAGGGTATTACAGCCAAGCAATGCTTCATTTGAAATAAGGCTCCTTCTCTCTCAGTGTTACTCTGAGATCAAAGGCTATTTCATCTGACAAAACCTGACAATTGGCTCAACTTGCTTCCTGCTCTCCTTAACAGTCTACAAAACAGACTCACTGTTATGTTGTTGGAAAATAGGTCTTGTGAGTAAGAAAACAAAGCAATTGAGAATGGAAATTCTTGAGAACTTCCCTGCTTCCTGCTTCTGTATTGAGGCTGGTGTTTGAGGTGGCTAAATCTTTGTCAGAGCAGTGTCTCTGGAGCATCCCTCAACTCTTCCGCTGAGATGCTAATAAGCCAAAAATGTCTCCAGACAGCCGATATCTCCTAGAGGTCAAGACTGCCTCTGGTTGAAAGCAGCTCGGTCAGTGTATCTCTGAGTTACCCAACATGGCCGCTTTTCAATGACAATTACACAGAAACTTCAAACTCAAGATGTTTTGTTTTATGAAGACTGTACAATTCCTTTGGTCCCTTGTACCATGCTCTTCTGAATGAAGCCTTTTCCTCAAGGGTTTGTACTCTAGATTCTGTAATTGCTTCTCCTGACAGTTCTAGATTCTTCTGCCTATTTCTGTTCTCTAGATCTTGTTTGTCCACACCCTCTTTAGAATGGAGAATCACTGTCAGCGAACACTCTGTGACCCAGCCTGAAATGTTAGCCTTGCCCATTAGCTGCAAATTTGCCCTGTGAGGTACTTTAGGTTTGAGAGTAGGCATACTCCACATTGCAAATATCACCCCTATCTTGTATAAGTATCTCTACATCTTCCTTTTGGACTTTGAGGACCAAGAGTTTAATAGATGATAGACTAGCCACTGGAGACCCTCATGTAATTGTTTCTGCTCCAAAGATGAGGTTTCAGTCCCATTGATACAGTCAAACACATATCTGCTTGCGTGGTAATCACTTCATGTACACTTAGGTTAAGGCTTGAGAGTCATTTTACAAGTGTTTTGAATGGAATTACTTGATTTTATGGTTTAGTATCATTTTCTTTCTCTAAACACTTTGAATGCCTGCAAATGACTTGGTTTTACACACCTTATTTTTTTTTAATGGAAAGCTCCATTTTTAATCACAAGGAGATTTGTCTCCTGAAACATGTTTATAGTGTAAGCTTATAGAGGAGTTCAGTAGCCAATTAAACTTTTAAAAATAAAAGAATAGAGCAGAAATGGCCAAGTGAGAAGGCTTCAATCTTCACCTTAGGGGGAAGGAAATAACTATGGGAGGCAGAGGGAGGGGGGACCTGGATGGGAGAGGGAAGGGGGAAAGGAAAGTGGGGGAAGGGCAGCAGGATCAGATATAGGGGGCAGGGAGAAGGAGAGAAGCCCAGAGGGCCAAGAGAATGAGTGGAAATAAGCAGCCTCGGGGGTGGGAGGTAGGAGAACTCTCTAGAAAGTACCAGTGACCTGAGAAGAAAGACACTCTCAAGACTCACTGGGAGTGACCTTAGCCAAAATACTCAACATTGACAGAATCTGAAGACTCCACTTTCAGTAGATAGACAGGCCCTCAAGTGGAGGAATAGGGTTACTAACCCACAGCCAAAATTCTTGACTTAGAATTGTTCTTGTCTAAAAGAACTTCTCTAAAAATAGAGAGGAGACTGAAGGAAAGGAGGTCCAATGATGGCCCAACTTGGGATCCATCTCATGGGGGCAGGGCACCAAAGCCTGACACTATTACTGATGCTATGATGTGCTTACAGATGGGAGCCTGGTATGGCTGTCCTCTGAGAGTCCCAACCAGCAGTTGATTGAGACAGATGCAGATACTTACACCCAACCATTTGAGTGAAGTCAGGGACTCCTGTGGTTGACTTAGGGAAAGGATTAAACCTGAAAGGGAGAGAGACCCCATAGGAAGACCAGCAGCCTCAACTACCCCAGACCCCAGGGAGCTCCTAGAGGCTGAGCCACCAACCAGGAGCATACATGGGCAGGTCCGAGGCCCATAGCAGAGGTCTACCTGATCTGGCCTCAGTGGGAGAAGATGTGTTTAATCCTTAAGAGACTTGAGGCCCCAGGGAAGGGAAGATCTGATGAGGAGAGAGCACCTTCTCGGAGGCAAGGGGGAGGAGGAATGGGATGAGAAATTGTGGAAGGGGGACCTGGTGGAGGCAATGACTAGAATGTAAATAAGTAAAATAATTTTTAAAAATAAATAAAAACGATATAAAAGGCATCCAGGCATTGACAGCCTGAGGGTACTGAGATCACTTTGTCAAGCTGTGGACCATCAAAGTCAACTTCTGGTGTAGTGTATGTATGTACCTGTGTATGTACATGGGAGAGGACATATATATTTATGTTACATGATATGGAGACAGAACTTAGCCTCTGGTGGCATTCCTGCTCACGTCCCATCCACTTTGGTTTTTTGAGGCAGGATTTCTCATGGACCATTGGCTCTTGCCTGTTTGGCTGAGCTGGTGATCAGAGACTCAGGGTCTCACCTTGCTTCTGATTCCCAGCATTGGGGTCACAAGCACTACACCCAGCTTTTAACCAGAGTCCTGGGAATCAAACTGAGGTCCTCATGCTTACACAGCAAGTGTGGGCTACTGAACCATCTCCTGGCCCAGCTTCTTACTTAGTTTACCCTAACCTCACTTCTCAGCATTCTTTGAACCTGTTCTGTCTCTGTGTGGCAGTAACAATCATTCCACTGTGTGTCACCTTCTTAAGACAGTTTTCAGTGTTCTCAGGCATAAAAACACAGCACTTGTTGGGGCTGGTGTGAAGTAACCTTTTCTTGAGGACTGATTTAATCCCACTTTCAGCCTCTATTACACTGTGTGTATTTCTGGAGTAAAATCTTGTCTCCAGACTGTTACACATGAATTGTAGCTGCTGCCTTATCCTCCCTGTGGTGGGGGTTGTTGTTGTTGTTCTTTTTAAATTGTATCCCATTTCTTTCTTCATTTATTTATTGTGTATGTGTGTGCACCACACGTATGTGCATGCTCATGGGTAAGAAGTGGAGGACTGAGGACACCTGCTGGCTTCCGGGGCCTGTGCTCCACAGATGTGCTGGGTATAAAAGCCAGACAATTGCAGGGACTTCCTCCATGGATAGTTTCCTTCTGGAGTCATGATTTTACACTGCTAGTTGTTTAATGTCTGGTTCTCTAGAAGGACATAAAGGTTTCTGTTTATTTGATTGTTTTGTTTTCTTAATTGGCAATTCTTTTATGGGTGAAAGTAGAAACTTTGAGATGCCCGTTCCTGGAAAAGAGACTGCCAGACAAGCTTTCTGACCGTTTCTACATGGTTTATATTTACTGGAACTACATATGTTTCTGTCCTGTGAGTGTGGTTTTATGGTTAATCCTTCCCAAGACTTGCAAATGACGGGCCTTTTCTCTGTGAAAGGTTCTTTCCCGTGGAGACGTGGTCCATGTGAAGATCCTTGGGACTCTGGCACTTATCGATCAGAGTGAAACAGATTGGAAAATAATTGCGATCAATGTGAATGATCCTGAGGCTGAAAAATTTCATGGTAAGTCTGGACCTTCCCCAAAAACCCAGAAGTAAATCAGTGTGTTGTTAGGATTCTTAGAACTCAAAGGGGAGTCATGGAACATGTATTTAGGGGTTAAGCAGAGTTTTAAAACTCTCCTTCTATAGTCCACAGAGATTAGCCTAATGTATTGTTTTGTGAGTTATGTCATCTTCCTAGAATGAGGAAGGTAAAAGAAAAATTGGAGACAGACAAATGATACTTTGTGTGGATACAAGAAGTTAGTACTGTGTGTTTCTACTTTCTGTCTTACCCTCCCCGCCCCTCCCTTACTTCAGTCTTCCTGTCTCCTGGCTTCCTCCTCCTTAGTTCTGCATAGATAGCACCTTTGTTCTGCAAGCAGCTAGTTCTTAATCTGTGTGGTTTCTGTGACTTGAGATGGTACTTAGAAAGACAAGGAGGACTTCCTAGCTCTTTCCCTGGGGTTGGGGAGGGTGGATGTAAGCAGACATCTACTCCCTCCTCTTAGGGAACCTGCACCAAACCTAAGTACATTCCACCAGAGGCTACCTTAGGGAAGCAGTGAATTTAGCAGCCTCTTTCTGAGCATGGGTGAGGGATCTTTACAGGAGTGTGGTGATGTCAAAGCAGCCATACCAGCAAAAAGCTGTGCTCCGGGTTAAACACACAAAACCAAACCTTGGCAGACAGGATCTCCACTTGAGAGAGAACGTGCAGAGTTGTGTTCTGATCTGGGTGACCTGACTAAGGATAGTATTTTCCAGTTCTAGCATTCCTGTTCTAGTATTTACATGCATATTTCATAATCTTACTTTTCATACAGCTGAGCAATGGCCTTTTGTGTCCAGTTACCTCGTTTTCTTACTCACTAATCTAATGATGACCGTCTAGGTTAATTCTGTTTCCTAGCAATTGTGAACAAAAGAGCAATGAACATGCATGTTCAGAACAATTTAAAGTAGGCCACATCCTGACCACGGTATATTTACTTACACACATCTTTTACTGTATTAATAGAGACATACCTGTAGGTTTTTCATTAGTAGCTGGGAGTAGTAGTTTACATCTATAAAACCAACACTGGACTGGCTGACACAGGAGGATCACCATGAGTAGTTCAGGACAACATGGACTACACAGTGGGAGCTTGTCTCAAAACATTTTTAAAAATCAACATTACTACCAAGTTTCTCATTCTATAACTATATTGGATGCTGAACTCTTTTAAAAGCTAAATAAAGTTTGAAATGAAATACCCAGTTAGAAGATTGCCCAGCCCCCACCCCCCCTTTTGGCTCATTAACACTTGGGAAGCACTGGGACCATTTAATCAACTGTAAGTAGTTTCTAGTCCTTAATGCTTCGTAATGGTACCCTAATGGTCTGAAAGGGTTAATAATAAGACTCCCGGGTACCTAATTGTACTGGAGATGGCTGGGTCATTAGAGATAATAGTGCTGGGTTAAAAAATAACCAAGCTCAAGCTTTTTAAGAAAATTGGAGTACGTGGGCTCCTGCCACTCCTCTTCGGTTTGATTAACTGCCTGGGGACCTTAGTGGGGCGAGACGTGGGGATCTGGAAACTTGGCAGCTGTTTCTTCTGGTTTTGTCTTTAGCTAAATGAAAACTACTGTCCTATGTCCGGTAAAACTGTTGCCTCTCAAGTGATTTTATACTTTTAAATGAAAGCTTACAAACCAAAGCTTAAAATCAGAACAATGACATTGATTTTAGAACATCTGGGATGAGTACATTACATAAACTGAGCTAGCTATGAGGAACTTATTTTACGTTAGGAGGTTGGAACCTTTTCAAAGGCCAGCATCAAATTGTCCTAAAGTTAGTTACCAGAGGTTTTAAGTGTTTCAAATGTGTAGAATTCCAAAGTTCAATTACGAAAATGTAAACATTAAATAGACTTCATATGTTCTTTTTTTTGTCTTCCAGGACAGGAATGAACACGTAGAAAGTGTGTCAGTTTGGCTATAATTTCACTTCGTATGTGTAAACATGTCTAGTGTCCCTACCATTTAAAAAATAACCAAATTATCATGTGCTTGTCTGTCATATACTCTTCTTCCCAGAGTATAATTTAATATTGTCATTAGAAAACAAAGTCAAGGGAGGGGTGATGAGGTGGGGAGGGAGGAGTGGAGGGAGGGAGGTACGAGGGACAGGATTTAATCGCAGTCCTAAGGCAGAATGTCTCTGCTGACTGCTGTAGCCAGACGCAGACTGTTAGGGGACAGTAGTGTTCTCTCTTGGGCTCAGAAGGTACAGACAGCCGAAGGGACAGACAGATCATGACTCTTGCATTCCTAGAGCTCTAGCGTATACAGCACATTGCCTTGTGTCTAGGAACAATGCCAGGCGCGTCCAGAGTTACCTGTTTTGTCATTATACAACTTCCATCAAGATGTGCTCTCCCCCTCTCCCTTGTTTAAGATGCTAAGGGAAGGAGACAGTTAATAAAGTAACAAAATAAAACCTCAGCCCTTCAAAGCCAGTCTGGTTCCAGACAAAGATCTCACCCCTTGCTCTTCTAAGGCATCAAGTTAGTCCAGTGTTTTTGTAACTTTTCGGGAGTGGAGACCATTTTCCCAGAGGCAGTAATGAACTGTAGTAATTAGAAGTCTGCTAGAGAGAGGGTAGTTCCTTTGATGTCTGTCCTTTGATCTCATTAATGGTTTAGATAGAGGCTTGGGTGTGGGGAGAGGGTGTGGTATCTCATTAGGAACTAATTACTGGGAGTCTCTTGCTTCGTTTTTTAATCTTGACCCCTGTAGGTTTTAGGGCTGTAGTCATATTCCTATGACACAGTAACATGGGGAGGTATAAGTTCTAAAATATTCCCGTTTGCTTGGCAAAGTCATATACTCCCCTCAAGCCCTAGAGCCATTCTACAGTTGAGTTGTGGGTTGCCCTCCTATCCTTGGCCCCAGACTGGAGGATTCTATGTTCCTTTCTTAGCAATACCTTTTACCTGCCTTCCTCTGTAAACAAACAGCAATCTTCAGGGTCATTGCTAAAGGAAACTTTGTTGCCGTAATTATTAGCAGTATAGCAGTCACACACACTGATGGTATTTGCTGGAGAGATTCCACACCTGCCCACATTTCAGAATGACAGATCCAGCCATGGGATCGTGAACCAGATGTCTTGGGAGCACAGCACCCTTTTTATCTGTCTTAGGGAGGCTCTTAAGTGTTAGAACTGGAGGTTATGAGGCAGTTTGGGCACCATGCCCGTCTGTCCTTGTAGCCACTTTTTGCAATACGCTTCAAATAAAATTACACTAGGAAAGTATTTAAATTTCTTTATACAGGGCCAGGGAATAGTTTTAATTGGGGGGGAGTCCAGGCAAAGTATCTTATTAGCTAGTAATGAATATATTTTAGAAAAAAAATCTATTTACTCTATTTGAGATTGCTCCTTTCTAGATTTATACAGAGTCTTACAGAATATTGTCTTGATTTCTGTTTCTGTGTGGTAAGTATATTCTGTAGTGTAGGTTTGACTTGGTAAGAGCAGAATTTGTAGGGCAGGGAGGAGCACGGAGAACGAAGCGATGGTGGTGCATTGACGGCGCACTGCAGTGATGACAGTGCGCCCTAGCGCCTGCGCATTAGGCAGAGCATGGCCCAACCTGGAGACTTGAGAGTCTTCCGAGGTCCTGAACAAGCACGGACAGTTAAGGAAAGTCATAACCTGAGTAGGAACCTCCTTGTGGTTCAGAAGGTGCAGGGCTATTAGGGAGTGACTGGTGTGATCTGTGAATATGAGACCATGTTCTTGCTTCCCATGGGTTTTGCTTAGAGGGCCCACGTCTCACTCTGTGTCACAGTATGGTTATCGCCAACTGCCTTTCTTTTACATAATAGAAGCAAAGGATGGTATTATACTTGTTAACAGATTTTGTCTAAATATAAAAATTCCTCAGTAGGATATATGCCTTCCTCTCCTTGTGTTAAGGTTTGGTGTGAATAATTCAGATAAAAGCCACAGGGTTTTCCCTTCTATGCTCTGTGTAAGTACGGGTGATTCCTAGATGGTGAGAATGAGCGGTAAGATTCAAAGCGACATTCTGTGATGCCTTTGTGCACTGTCCAGCACAGCGTACGTACCAAATATCTTAATTTTTAGTTGATACATCAGGGGATATATATGTGTTTCAAAAGTGGACATTTTGAGTGAAATCTGAAAATATCTTCAAAATAGAAGTATTTTAATTTATTTCAACAGGAGAAAAACATTCAGTTAATACTTGGAATTTGACATTTTAAATGATTATACTTCTTTAGTGTCGTGTAAATATACTTTATTTTTATATTTGTGCCTTTTTAATCATAGCTACATGTCATTGCTAAGTTGCCAATATATAATCTATTACCGAGTTTCTCACTTTAATCTCGGAGGTATCTCGGATCTTTTCTTGCTTTTGCATTCCCTTAAACAGCCATATCTTTCTTTTCAGTTGAAGTGATACTAACATTTCTGGTCTCAGCATCCTGAAACTAAAATTTATCTTCTTCATTGTTTACCAAACATTTTAGGAAAAATATTACTTTAAAGGATGGTAGAAAACCTCCCCACACTCATCCTTTACAAAGACATCTGGATTCTCTCCCTGGATAAAAGTCATTTTATACTTTCCACTGTTTCCTGACATTTACTCTGTAAACCGGGCTCCCTCGTCACCTGGCATCCTCCACCTCCTGTGAATGCCAGGCTCTTCTGTACGTTGGTGGCTTTGCAGATACATCTCTATCACTCAAATGTTCCTTAACTTTTAAGAGCCAGTCTAAATGTCATGTCTTCTCCAAGTGACTTTGATTCTATAAGACACACATAATCCTTCCCCCAAAAACCACCATTCTGCTTAATTCAGTTAAACATCTGATTTCACATATTTGTAATTTGTTTCCGTGTCTGTCCACCTGTCTAAATTGTGAACCCCTGAAGAGTATGCCTTTCATTTACTTTGCTAATTTGAGACAGGGCCTCCTGTACCCACAGCT